ATATGAATGAATATGAGATGGAAGGAGGTGGGTGTGTGAGTAGGTGAGTGCGGCGGGGGGGGGAAACACAGGTGTGTGAAAAGAGAGAGAGAGAGAGAGAGAGAGAGAGAGAGAGAGAGAGAGAGAGAAGGTATAAGAGAGTATGAATGAAAAGAAATTGTCAAGTAGGAGAGAAAGCGGAGGAAATGCAAAATGTGAAGTAAAATGTAAAACGAGAGAGAGGAATAAGATAGGGAAAGGAATGTAATAGAAATTAAGAAGCTAAGTTTAAAGTGTGATTTAATTTTTGGAAGTCTTTGTAATCACTTTGTGTGAAGGCAAATAAATACTACTATTACTACTACTACTTCTTAATATTTGATATTTCTCTAGAAATGTATTTCATAGGTAATGATTTTCTTATTAATTCTGTTGTGTTCTTTCCGCCATAAAATGTTAAAATTAATTTCTTGTCTTCGGAAGAAGGAATTAGCAATGTTGTTTGGTAAAATTTTTTCCAATTGTCTACATATACTAAACAATTCGGATTTAATTTGCTTCAGATGTTTATAAGCGTCTTGTAATTCAACCTGCAAATATTTAAAGATGAAATTGTGTTTAAGTCTGTTAATTCTTTCTTCCGAAGAGTGGAACAATTTATTGCTATCTTTGCGTGTAAAATTATACATATGTATAGGAATAAGACGTTCTTTTAGACACGTTTTTAAGAAATATATTTTTACTCGTTAATATTCGTTTTATGAGTTTTAATAAATTTCTTGTAAAACAGGTAACGATTCTATTGTTTTATACTCCGATTAAAAGATATTAATGATATAATAAATTATTTTAGAATTAGAATCTGAAAATTCTCGTTCTACACTTTTCATGATATGACTTCTGACGTTCTAACATTATTATACGAAGCAGCGTCGGATAGAAGTAAACACGTTTTTTATAATTATAACACACGACGGTTGAATTTTATTCCAACTTAATGTAATTCTGCGTCTTAAGAATATTATTAATTTTACTGAAGATGGCCAGATTGTGGCCGAAACGTTTAATGTTTTATTGTAATAATCAATTTTTGATGCAATAATAATTAAATATCACAAACTATAACTTGTGCTGTTGGTATAACTTATGCTCTTCTTTTCATAATTTTGAATTTATAACCACATTTGTTTTTTACGTTTATTGACTTTCCCTCATAATAAAAGTTTAGTTGAAATGTACTCAAAAATATCTTTTAATTTTTACAAAGAAATATTGCAGAAGAAAAATTATTTTTTGTAAGAACAACTAATTTTTTCTTATTAATTAACAAAGGATGATTTAATTGTTCTTACTAATTATTATTTTTCTACTGACATATTTCTTTGTAAAAATTACAATAATTTATTGATTGTATTTCAACCAATCCTTTATCACAAAATTTTTTTCTTGATGTAAATTTCGTCCTAAAATAAATTTAACATTTTTATATTAAGCCGACGAATTATATATTATCTCAGATATTAATTTTACTAAAAATAATACTTTAAAATATATAGAAAAGTAAATATGTAAGTTAAAACATAAAGTCTTATGAATAAGATAATTATAGATAATAATAAGATAATAATAAATAAATATTTATATATAATAAAAATAATAAACAAATGAAAATACATGAAATATTTATTTTCCTTTAAACAGTACAAGTTAATTGTAAATATGTCTATTGGAACATTAAATTGTTTAAAAATATGAAACACATGAACTTTAATATATTTTTGAGCAATTGCTCTTAATAGATGCATATAATGATTATCCATTGCGCATCATACATATGATCGCCTAAATTTTAAAAAATTGTATTTTTATCAATAAATTCATGTAACACTTTATTTGTCAAGAATATTTCGTCGTATTTTTTAGCCAATACTTTGCCACCACTTTTAAAGCGTATTTAATTATTATATCTTTTCGCAGACTTTACAGATGTTTATTACATTTTATATAGATAAATAGATAGATTAATCCTCTACTTTTAGTTGCAATCAAAATGTAATTAATTGATTTACGTCTATCTGGTGCAAGTTAAATTCATTTATACAATTCTCACATTCTAACTTATTCAATGAGTTTTTTTATAAATCTTGCAATATACAATACAATAATATTTGAAAATTGCGTTATTTGATCGAGAATCCGGAATATACGAATGCATATTGACAATATTAGAGATAGAAGAATCACAATTTAATATTGCATTGCGCGTAGAATTGTTAATAATTGTTATTGATGAGGTGTAAAATGCAATATTGAAATATGCTCTAATGGTATGCAGTTGCCTAATTTTCCGTCTCTTAATTCGGTATGGACGAGAATTTTTTTCATTGCTGTTTTAAATTGTTTGGCAGTAGAATTATTATTGCCTCCACCATGCGCTCGAATGGAACAAAATAAAAGTTCGATATGATCTTAACTTACTTTACACATAGGCAAATATGATAGTAACTTATTATCTACGCATGTTTTGTACGTATCCTTTAAACTGGCAATACATCTAAAAAACCGAAAAATCCATTCCGTTTTCGACAATCAAGAGTAGAGTGATCATTCACTAGTTTTAAATTTGAAATATAATTTTCACACTGTGTAAATTTTAAAAATATTTCGGATTTGTTTTCTTCATTTATTTAGGTTATTTAAAACTATGCTGTTTCATTGCTTGTATTCTTACTATTGAATATATCAAATAAATTATTAAATATATTGATAAATTCTATAGCCTTACAATTATCAAATTCTTTTATATTTAATTGATGTGAGCAAATTTCAAGAGAGTCTGCAACTGATTTGCTAAATGTTCGCTAATCGAACTTTCATTTTTTGTTTTACATAATTTATGTGCGCTGTTCGAAGTTTATTGGCAAGATGTAATCTCTCTTTTTTTTAAATTTCGTGTAGCTTTTCCAAAAATTTTCATGGTATAGTTTCGCTTGATCCGTTCATAAGCTACTTTAAGACTCCAAAAGAATTATGAACAAGTTTAATCATGTGGCTCCAAATATATGTAAATGTTACTATTTGTTTGTGGATTACGAAACCATGACTGCAATGTAATTAAATTATTAAAATTATAACCAAGCTCTTTAGCCATTTTTACATTTGAAGAAGTTCCATCAAAGATTAATGAAATTATTCGCATGCCATTATCATGCAAGAAAAAAAGACAATTTTTAACTTGACTTTTTGAGATTAACTTTTTGATCACTAGTTATGCCATTAATAAAAAAATAAGCTACAGAAATTTTCCACCATTAACACAATTAATTAAAAACTAGAGCATCATTAGCGACAGATAAACTGTTATCTTTATCCATTTCATTAAAACTACCCATATATCTATGTAGCCACTACATTTTTTTCCGTCATATTCGTCATATTCAAGATGTTGACGAATAGACATTTCATCAATAATTAATGGTCTGGGTAATGAGTAATTAGATTATAACTTTTTCCTTGATACAATTTAATGCTTCTTTATTAAAACCAGGTTCAGCACGCACGGATTGATATCACTTAGAAATTATAACAGGATACGATAGATAATTATGTAATTTGTTACGAACATAAGTATAAGCTTTGGGAGAATAATAGTGTAAAGTAAGTGCAAACGATCGTAGTTCTGGAGTATACGCCTTTGGAATAGATTTTTTTAAAGATTTTTTCAACAATCTTTTGAAAAGATCTTCAGATTACATTTACCTATATTCTCGATTATGTTCAATTCATTTTCTTGTAAATAATATTTATTTATCTTCAATAATTTTAATGGCTCGTTTAAATTTATGATCTTTTGTTTATATCTTCTTTCTTTTTGTTGCAGAATTTTTATTTTTCGTTTGTATTTTTCTATTTTCATATTTGCTTCTTTTCTTATTTGCGCATTCCGTAGTGTATCATAATTTGTACGTGATGACAATTGAACAGCAATATATTTTCTTCTGGACTCTTCACATCATCAATTGAATTCGATATTCTTTGTGGGTTCATTGCACAAACGATTAATAAATCGTTGTTCAGTAGTATTATCGGAAATGTCTAATAAATAAAAAAAGATAAATGAAAATATTACTTTATACTATATAAAGATTATGCATAATCTTTATATAGAAAGCACCCGTGGAAGTCTCAAGAATGTTATTATTTTATACTATCAGAAATGCTAACTTATATTTTAAAAAACTTACTTTCATGATTATGTTTATTGCCTTCTGTTAAATTGATGTTAATACATCTTTTTTCACCTTTTAAATTGAATTTTGAATCTAATGTATCAGATTCTTCTATATCTAACTTTCTTTTCGAAGCTTTTATTAAAACCTATATATATTAATGGAATGGGTTTATTCACATAGCAAACTTTTTCTTATAAATAAAAACTCCTGACTAATAGTTGTTAGGCCTGATTGCATTAACATTATTTTGGTTTTAAGCAATACAAATGCATATTTGTTTTTATTTATTTAGAAAGAAAGATAAAGATAGATACATATTTAAATCTTGCTTTAAATCGAAATAACGTTGGTGCAATTGAGCTTCAGTATATGTACATATACTGGGAAAAGTCCCGGACTCCTTAAATATTTTGAAAAGTAATTATTTTGGAGAAAAATGTTTTATATACAAAAGTTTGTAGGGTTGAAAATGATCTATTTACTGACCTTATCAATTTGATCTTGAATGGCGCCATTAAAATCAAGTCAAGATCAAATCAATTTTTTTAAACGAAACACCTTATTTTTGATTTTAGAATCTAATAACTGAGGTCGGGAGTTTTCCAAAACTCCCTTTACACTATAATAAAGCCTTTTTTTAATCAGTACTTTTTAAGTTATAAGAGTTGAAAGTATAGAACCGCCGCGGCATTAGCATTACCTAAGCTAAGGTGCTCGTATTCCTTTTAATGATGCGAGGATGAAATAGTCATAAGATGTCTTACGCAAGCGACAAGACTTTTCAATCAATCTTTTAGAAATAAAGACAATAGTATATCTAAATCAATTGTCATTCGTTTGAGCATTTGTCATTCCTTTAACCCAGCTCGCTTTACCTACCAGTTTTTAGTTACTTTCTCGGCTAGACTCCCATCAGGATCTGGAACTTCGTCAAGTTATATCGTTTAATAAATCGATAAATCTTTTTTCGACGGTGAATCCTTGCACATTCACAAATATTGGTATTGTTTGTGTGTTACAGCCCCGCATCGATAAATGGCCGAACTATAAGCGTAGAAAAGTGACGTTTTGACTACAAAATTTATGTTGCATGTCATTTTTAAATAAAGATAATTTGGATGAAACGAAATGACGAGATTACTTTAAAACACTTGTAAAAATCGATGAAAACCGTGTCATTCCTCGCTTTTGACATCACGATTCCAATATGGCCGCCGCGACTAGTTAGGAGCCTTAAGAATTAAGAAATAATAATAGGATCGACATCAATTCAATTTTTTTTATTTAAAATTTTTGTTATTCCTTTCTATTAAAATTTAAAAAATAGTTTTTATAGTTTTGCAACTCTTTTTAAATGAAAGAAATATATTTTTTATATGTAACAAAAAAAATTTTCTTAATTAAAAATAATTTTTTTATATAATAAAAAAATTACTGATGTATCAAGAAATAATTTTTTGTTATTATTACTTTTATTTTTTCAGGTAATTTATTATTTACTGTTTCGCATATCTATGTTCTGTCTTATTAATTACAATTAATTATTGAAAAACGCATCACACCGTTGCCAAAATTTAAACGACTTATGATTCCTAGAACGGTAGTCTAATACATTTATGCTGAACTAATCGTATGTTTGTGATCGCGTCAATGTTACTCATATATATATACATATATACATACCTTCTACTATAACCATTCTTAATTTCATGTCTCTGACAGTTTAATATTATTAATATTTGAGGAAATTACATAGAAACGAAATAATACGCTGGTATTTATTAATTTAGCAAATGATAATGACAAAATGATTGTCCTCAGTCTCGAGAAATCGTTCGACCGTGGCAGAAGTGGCGAACGTATCTCGTCTTGCTATGATCTAATAGCGTTTTCTGTTGGCTGCACTATCTCCCACTAGTGCAACACTCAGACAGTATACCGTGTTTCCATGGCTGGTGGTAAGCGAACTCATTCGGTGTACCGTGTTTCCATGACTACGGTGTAGTGCAAATTTTATGCGTGAAGTGGGATTTTACTACACCGTCTCAAAGGGATAGTGTAGAGCCAGTATGACATTTAAAATTTGAAAATGGAAATCAAGCGGAAATATATTTTAGCGCAATAATGATGTAGTATACCATTCTGGTATAGTGTAGCTGAGTGTAGTGCTTACATGCAACTGGTGCAATGCGAGGGCTGCACTCAGTGTATCCCAAGAGAAAACGCTATAAGTGTTGTTTTATTTTTGAGCATAAGTATGGCCGTGTTTGTGTTTATGTTCTAGTGTTTTCCTTCTCCAGTCTATTGCATCCTTGTTGCCATTCTTCCCGTTGAGAAGTGATTGTCCTCGGCTGCGGCACGACTAACAGATTTTTTAACCTGAATAATCGTACCTGTAATCCTTGATAAAAATTTCTTTGTCAATATCACGATTGTCATGATACTGACTAGTGCCACCGCTTCGTTACCGCTTCGTCACCGCTTTGTTACGCCATAACCTCTTTTAAAAAATCTGACATGGTCCATAAAAAGTTTAATCTTGCGCATGATACAGACTTGATATGGAAATAACTTAGCATACTTACTATCTACAGGGTTGGCCATATTCGACGGAAAGATGTTTTTTTTT